AGCAAAGATCAAAGAGCACTGTGATTTCGACGCCGAATGATCTTCTATTAAAAGATCATCCACCTCTCGTGAAGCGCTTAGTCCTAGTTGCTTCAGCTTACTTCTAGAAGCAGACGCGATGATGTTTTGAGGTTGCGAGATTACATCAGATTTTCGACAATCTGTCGTTCAATGAATGGAATATTGACGTGCTGTACATGATATTGAGTTCCACTCGGGATAAAATAATAAATAAAATACAGTGATCTTAAGAAGGGGGACGAGTTCGGGCGAACTCAGCGTCCAAACTCGTTCTCCTTGAGTCAAATATCACTGTATTTTTTAAAAATTATATAATATTATAATTATTAACGAGATAATCAGACATTCATCTTAAGATCTTGTAAAGATTCCAAGACGAACGTCTGATTATCCCGTTAATAAGAATATCGGCGAGAGAGGTCAGACATGGTCACATTAGCGGAAATTACGGCGGATGGATTGTATAGTGGCGCAGCTTCAGACCAGGTGGCTCGCTACCGTTAAACTGGTAGGTGAAAGAAAGACCTCGCGAGAGTTTTTTCGCTTATCTGCGCAATATGTATAGCTCAGCTAAAAAGCCGACTACAACTATGTAGTGAGAACGCAGGTAAATAAAATGCGTAAAACAATGCTACAATATAATTATGAAGTCACAGTTCATTACGAAGCCTAGCAGTTAGAAAAAGAAGTAAGCATCGGAAAAAGCATTTAGGAGGCAAAAAAGTTGGGAAAAAGCAGCCGAAAAAGGGCACTATTTTATGTTTGACAAGTGAGATTCCCTTGTGATGAAGGTGTAATTGGATTCTCAAGTTTTATAGGAGAGATCGCATGCCGTGTTATCAAGACTGCCAAGGCTATGGGCATCAAGACTGTAGCTGTCCACTCCGATGTTGACTCCGGCTCCCTCCACGTCAAAATGGCTGATGAAGCCGTTTGCATTGGTCCTGCTCCTACCAGTGAATCGTATTTGAGGGCTGATAGAATTTTGGAGGCTGTCAAGCAAACAGGAGCTCAAGCTGTAAGTTAGCCATGCTTTCTTTAAAATCACTAAATTTTGATTCATCGAATCATCTATTCTCTTAGGTCCACCCTGGTTATGGTTTCCTGTCCGAAAACACGAAATTTGCGGCTGAATTGGAAAAAGCTGGTGCTGTATTCATTGGACCGAACTCGAAAGCTGTACTGAGTATGGGTGACAAGATCCACTCGAAGCAGATTGCCACTGCCGCAAAGGTGCCGTTTTTCTGGAATTTTTTCATGAGTAATGTAACTCGCTGTTAAGTGGCTGTTAAGTTGAAGTGAAGTTCTCCGAGATTTGTTTGTGGGCGACGCAGCTGACATGCCCGTTCG